AACAAATCAACAAACAACAAACCAACCAACAAACAACAAATCAACAAACAACAAACCAACCAACAAACAACAAATCAACAAACAACAAACCAACAAACAAAAAACCAAACAAATCAACAAACCAACCAACAAACCAACAAACAAACAAACAACAAACAAACAAACAACAAAACAACCAACAAACAAACAATAAACCAACCAACAAACAACAAATCAACAAACAAACAACAACCAAGCAACCAACAAACAAACCAACAAACAAACCAACAAACAAACCAACAAATCAACAAAAACCAAACAAACAACAAACCAACCAACAAACAAACAAACAAACAACAAACCAACAAACAAATCAACAAACAAACAACAAACCAACAAACAACAAACAAACAACAAACCAACAAACAACAAATCAACAAACAAACAACAAACCAACAAACCAACAAACAACAAACCAACAAACAAACAACAAACCAACAAACAAACAACAACCAACAAACCAACCAACAAACAAATAAAAAAAAACAACAAACCAACCAACAAACAACAAATCAACCAACCAACCAACCAACCAACCAACCAACCAACCAACCAACCAACCAACCAAACAAACAAACCTCTGCCGAAGACCTCCCGCAGCAGAGCCAGCTTCGGCTTCCTGGTGTGAGGGAGGTGATGCTGCTGCTGCTGCGAGGAGGAGGAGGAGCATCTTCGGTCTTTGATCATCAGCCTGTTCTTCATCTGTTCGATGGGAGTTTCATCTGTGATGATGGAGACGAGCTGAGGACACACCAGAGATCAAAGGTATTTTAATATATTTTGATTTTCAGTTTAATAAAAACATTTTAAACTGATCGTAATAAATAACTTCTGCAGCATCGAGGGCTTTTCTTGACGCTCGTGCTCAAAATATTGTGCTGAAACATAACAGTGTTTCTAAACTATTTTAACAATCTGTGTTTCAAAATAAAAGACTTTTCATCAGAAGTGTAAGAATCAAAGCAGGGAGAGTGACCATTAAACAAATATTTTCAAATATTTTTCCCTCCTCGTCTAAAGTTTCCTGCATTAGACAGTTCATAACACTTTTAAAATATAATGAATAAAACTAAAAACTCTGTGAAACCTTAAACTCACATGTGAACACACAAAGATTCATGCTGCTAAATTAAACTAAAGCAAAGTTACAGAGGTTTCAGTAATGAAATAAATGTTTTGTCATTCTGCATCAATAAATGTTAAGAAAT